CCCCCCCCCCCCCACCCAACAAAAAGGCAAGGGACCCGTCGGCACTTTCATCACCCAAGCTCCCTATAGTCAAATGTAACTATGTCGGTGTCCTTACTTTCTTTCTAAATGAAAAGAAAAGTTGGTCTAAACTTAAAAATATAGATGTTTTATGATTTTATTTTATTTGATGATGTTTGTCTGGACAAGATACGTAAAGAAAAGAAAATATTTGAAATTTAGTCTAAAATATGTTGTGTAGCTAATAAGATCATATAAATAAAAAATAAAAGAGTATTATATAAACTAAACCAGAAGGAGTATCATCTTCTTACTATTCCTACGATATTTAGGAAATCAGATTACCTTTTCTTTGACTATTTGACTTCAATCTTTTTGAATGTTTCCTAAATTAAATATCTTACATTATAAAAATTATATTCATAAACCTTTTCTGTACTTTCTAAATTTACAGGGCAAAGAAGTTCTGTCTGATACATATAAGTAGGAAATTTGTGTGCCTATGATTGTTTGTTTGTCTCCATAATGCCAAAACTTGGGAGTTCCAGGGGCAGGATTCTGCTTTTGCTATTGTTGATCTTCTTCTCCTTATTTACACAAAATGTCGCTACTGCTACAAGCAAGACTAATTCCAATCTCAGTTTTAAAGAAGCCCCAAAATTCTACAACTCCCCTTCTTGTTCTGCCATCAATTCTTTAAAAAATGCCGTACATGTAGCTATGACCCTTGATATAGCTTACCTCCGAGGTTCAATGGCTGCGATTCTTTCTGTGCTTCAACACTCTTCTTGCCCTGAAAATATCATTTTCCACTTCGTGGCCTCTTCTTCTGCTGAAACCACACACTTGAACCTTACAATTGCGAAATCTTTCCCTTATCTTCACTTCAAAATTTATCCAATCCAAGATATTGCAGCCGTTGCAGGACTAATTTCCACTTCCATTCGCTCTGCTTTAGATTGTCCTTTAAATTACGCTCGCAATTATCTTGCTGATCTACTTCCTCAATACCTCCACAAAGTCGTTTATCTTGATTCTGACCTTGTTCTCGTAGACGACATTGGTAAATTAGCAGCAACACCTCTAACAGAGGACTCTGTTTTAGCAGCACCTGAATATTGCAATGCCAATTTCACTACTTACTTCACGCCCACGTTTTGGTCTAACCCTTCACTTTCCTTAACTTTCGCGAACCGAAACCGAAAACCTTGTTATTTCAACACTGGTGTTATGGTTATTGATCTTGATAGATGGAGAGCAGGGGATTATACTACAAAGATTGTGGAGTGGATGGAGTTGCAAAAGAGAATGAGGATTTATGAATTGGGTTCTTTACCGCCTTTTCTACTTGTTTTTGCTGGAAATATAGCTCCTGTAGATCATAGGTGGAACCAACATGGTCTAGGCGGAGATAATTTTCGTGGACTCTGCCGAGATTTGCACCCTGGTCCGGTTAGCCTGTTGCATTGGAGCGGAAAGGGGAAGCCTTGGGTTCGACTCGATTCGAACTACACTTGTCCCCTAGATGCCCTCTGGGCACCTTATGATCTGCTGCAAACACCTTATACTCTGGAATCTTAAGGTACTTTACTCAATCCAAAAACGCCGCTCTTGTTGAATTGTCTGATCATCTTATTCAAAAGTCTACACTATTCGAAAGAATACAATTTTTATTTACTTAAGCTTTTGCAGTTTCCACTAACCTTATAATTGCATCTAGTGATCTGCTTCGTATGTTCTTGAAGTTCCCTAATAGACTTCTATACGTGCTTCTATGGTTTCAGGTGTCTTAGAAATTGCAGTAAATTAGTTAAAGAGATCGAGAGTAGAGATCTGTGTCTTGAGATCCTCCTCGATTGCGTTATGTACAGTATTTGTCTCTCTTCGCGGAGACCCTGAAAGGGCTAAGGTGAGGGTTGTTATTATTTTCTCGTAGATTACAATATACAGTTGCCAAGAATTATACACTGGCACTTAACTAGAGTACTTTTTTTGAATGTACGAGATGAAAACATATACTACTACTATTTGCAGTTGAGTTTACTACAGAATGAAAAAACAGGCAGGTTCTCGCCTCTTTGGCATAAATATATTGTTATCGGAAATGAATCTTGGAGCATTCATACAATCAAACGATTAAAAGACCAAGATAATTCAAATAGTGCTTATGTACAGTAGCAATTAGTAATTTTAACACAGATAATTAATATTGTTAATGTGTGATTCTTGAAGTTTTAATCTCAAATCTAAATAATGCTTAGCTAAAGTGGCATCTGATCTGAGCTCTGCTAAAAAACTTAGCTTGAGTTCTAAATTTTCATGCAGCTCCAGTTGTGCTTAATTTCTCTATCTTGCTTTTTAATTTTAGTGGAGAAAGATTTGGGTTAACTCACACGCGGATATAACGTACTATTAGTAATTTTTCTAGGTTTTAGCCTTCTCATCCTTATAGCTTTTTCTAAACAATGGAGTATAAAATAAAATGGAAAACAAACAGGCTACCATTTGTACTTGTTCATCCAAATCTTATATCCATTTTCTCTCTTCTAAGCTGTTGTTCAATTTGCCGCTTATCTTTTCCCTTTTAACTTTTTATCCCGACTATAGTCAATATCCTTCTATGATTACTTTTCTCATCGTTTTATACTCCTAATACTTAAGAGGTAAGAAAAACGAAAAACAGGTGAAAAAGAAAAAGGAACATGAAAAAGAAAAGGGGGGGTGGGGGT